CAACTGTATGTGTATGCAAACTAGATTCATTTTTTTATCCAGCGATGCACTGGGGGTTTGAGCTCAGTTAGATATGCATGTATTTTCCTAAGGGTGTACAGTTAAAAAGTAGGTATCATAATAGAGCTCTATGTAAAATAAAACATACCAACTGTAACATCTGTGGTTATGCCCACGCTCTGTAGAAGAGCCTCAGCTTCACGTCTTTTCTTCTCCAGGTCAGAGTCATCCTGAGGAAGTACGACCTCTTTCAGTTCCGCCTAGAAATAAAAACAAACAAACATAAAAACACCAATGATAACAATATTAAATTGACTGGATCTCAGGCAATACAGTAAAGCATCCAGTCTCTTCTGCTTAACCAGTTCAGTGTCAGAGTGGGCTAAAGCCGAGCTGTCATAGACTGAGAGGTGGGGTACACTCTGGACAGGTTGCCAGTCTATCACAGGACTACACAACACATTAATGTTGATTTATGACTTTTTTAGTGATTCACAGCTATGAGGAAGCCCATTCTCTAAATTAAAAATTAATACTTAATTGTTTTATGATGCACTCTGTGCAAGAATCTTATTACTGCCAAAGGACATGACAAGTGCAGCAAAGAGCTGATCTGCAGGAACACCAGCAAGGATACATAACATTAATTTGGGGTGACTCTGTGGAGAGAAGGTGATCCACTAATTTTAAGGTCAGTGACTCGATCCCTGAGCTCCTTCAGCCTACATGTCAAAGGGTCTTTGGGCAAGATGTTTAATTCTAAACTTTTCTTCAGTGTGTGATTGAGAAAGAGCTGGAGGAACAGAATAAAGTGGTATATGCTTGTAGGCTATCAAATGCTAGGAGAGATATTTTGGAGAAGAAGAAACCGAAAAGATGGATGCTATTAAATACGTCTGAACACAGAGCAAACTAGATTTTGTACATCTCCATCATTTAGGAGAAAGGCACTGCTGATGCCTGTCATTTTACCATTTCCAGGCCGAATTGCAAGACGAAAAGGTCTGAGGTTTGCTTTTCCTCGTGTGCACACAAAGCTACTGTATTTTAATGTGTCAAGATAAGATTGTTATGGCCTAGTGTTTGGCTTCTTAGCCAGAAATGTAGCACTGAGCATACGTGGGCAGTGGGACAGTGTATTTACCCTTACTTAAAACAGCGACAGGTTGGTTAAGAGCACATATCTTACAAAATAAAGCTGCAGTCATGATACAGTGTTGTTTTACTTTCACCCGATCTGTGTTTCACTGAGAGGTTTTGCTCCATGACATAAGCCAAAGACAAGAACTAACAGACTTAAAAACTCCTTTGTCCCACACGCCATCAGACTGTTTAACTCCTCTCTGGAGGGGAGAGGGAGGGGAAACAGGAGGACAAAGGAGGGGGGAACAACTAAGCTGTAGTGCCTCTTCACCTCACTGTGCAATACCTTTTGTGCAATACTTTTGTAAATAGTCAACAGTGCAATTGACCTCAATACTTGAAATGTGCAATTCACTTGTATTTTTATTTTTTATTCCTATTTATTCTATTTATCCCCTTCGTATATTTTATTTATATTGTCTCTGTATTTATATATATAAATTTATATATAGTTAATATGTATTATATATATATAAATAAATTTGTGTGTGTGTGTGTGTGTGTGTGTGTGTGTGTGTGTGTGTGTGTGTGTGTGTATATAATATTCTGTAACTCTGTAACTTCTGTCGGTGCTATGCTTTTTTGGAAATCGAATTTCCCAGAGGAACCCACCCGAGGGATTAATAAAGTTCTATCTAATCTAATCTAATCTAAGCCTTGCGACCAGGAAGTAAATGTTCTAAGTAAGAACTCATGTATACTGGAGAATTTGGGGAAAATCCTCCTTAAAGGACAAACCTGGAGAACAAAACAACTTTCCTTTCCCATTCAATAATCTGTAGCCTTCATACCACAAAGAAATACAGCTATTATGGATAGGATGGATTATATGTTCAAAGGATGTGGAGGAAATAATCACACTAAAAGTAGCAACATTCAAATATCAATTAAGAAGAAGAGTTCTATATTGTCAGAACAGTATGAAACTGTCAAAACAGGAAATAATCAAATGATCTACATGCGCTTTTAAATTACAGTGGAATATCGGATTATTTTTTTATTCCAATCACATTATAGAAGTTCAAAAAACATTATGTAATATAGCCAAGAATGGCTGGAGAGGGAGACTGACAAAGTCATCAATATAGCTATCTACCAAAACACAGCTACTCTGCTAGAAGAAAATGCATACTGTACACTAGCCACCTCATATTGTTTTATCACATTAGGCCCAACTTGAGCTTGTTAATGCAATCTACTGACTATCAGTCAGTTGAGAAAAATCAATCCATGAAAAACATTTTACTTTTCTGTCTTACTTTTGCCATTCAAAACAAATGGTGTGGAATGTATTATCTATATAAACGCAGAAACCCTTAATACCTGCAGGGTTACATTTGGATTAGAAATTAAAAACATTATCACTAATGGAACAGGGTTGCTTATCTTAATATAAATACCTTTCTCACCTACCTTTCTCAGAAGAACCTTATCTCTTTGTCAAGGGCCTTGGGATGTGTTGTGTGTATTAACCACTTTCTCCTACTCTAAACTTCATATGCAAATGGCCAAATAAGTTTGACGATTAATGTGGACCATTGTAAATGCATGTGAACTAAATATTTACAAAACATTGTTAGCATACCTTCTTGCGCTCCTCTTCCTTCCTTCTCTTCTCCTCTCTGATTTGTGCTAAGCGTTGCTTCTTCCTTTCAAGCTCTGCTTTCAGCTCACTTTTGTCAGACATGATGCCAAAGCTGTATAAAAAGATACAGCTCTGTTATATTAAGTGTCGATTAAGATTAGTCTGAAATATAAAGTATTTATCAGCTAAAATTATAGCCAAAAAGTATTTGGACAAAGACACAATGTTTGTCATTTCAATATGTGACTGAAGTGCAGGCTTTCAGCTTTAATTCAAGTTTCACAGATTTAGCCAAATGCTGCAAAACTGATCAGACAGCAAGTTCACAGTGCAAATGAGAAGTGGGATACTGTTCAATGGTCACCTGCTCTCAGCCCAATAAAGCATGCTTTTTAGATACTGAAGACAGAGACCCACAAACAAGCAGTAAAGGTCCGGCAGAGCATGTCAAGAGAGGAAACAAAGCATTTGAAGATGTCCATGGGGTATTGACGTCATGCAGTTATTGGTTGTAAAGAATTAACAACAGTCCTGTTATGTCCGTTGGTCCCGTTTCTTCTAAGTCTCTGAAAATTGGGAGGACTCCGTAATAAAACGGCTGTAACTCCGAAAGAGTTCATGCAAATCTTTGGTTAAACCCCTCAAATTAAAGCTGAAAATCTGCACTTCAAACACATCTCAGTCCTGTGATTAAAGTCTCCATGCGATTGGGTTTTGAATAATCAGGCAAAAATACAAAAACTGTTACTTTCCAAAGATTATTTATATATCAAAGCACTAGAAGTGCCCTAGTGGTCTCGCTGTGTTTACAGGGTGTCCTATACCATAACTCAAAGCCAAGCATCTCATAACAGCTTCAGGAGCCTCTCACGACATTTCAGACAGCTTGTATCGACCCAACCTCTCACTGACCGCACAATTAAACCGACCAGTGTTTCAGCTTCCCCCCTGGGTAATTGAGTTAAATGTGTTAGCCGTGTATTATTTCTTCGCTTCATGTAAAGACTGGCTGACCAGTCATTGTCATTAGCTAGCTAACAGAGAGCCCCACCCTAGAGTCCGTTCAACCTCCCACACCCGCTAACCTCACCCGGCCCGGTGTTACGTTATCCATGTAAATTAGTTATTCCCGGTTCATATTAGCTTAATGTACCAATGAACTCAAAGCATTATGATGCTTTGTTTATTAGTTACACTGCAGTTTAAGGGAAACCCGCTAAGCAGCAAGGGCCTCGGCTATTGCTAACAGTAGCCTTCCGTGTTATTAGTAACTACTGTACTGGCATTACAGCGCTTTTCTCTTAATAAACACCCACTACTATCTCCATTTATTATTTTTATATTTTTCTTGTTGACTTCAAGGCAATAGAATATTTCCCCCTAGAGATCAACCCAAAAATAACGGCTAGAGATACATCACTTTGATAGAAGCTAGTTAGAGCAGCTAGCTACAGCAGTTAACCGGACTCCGGTCTGCAGCGCTGTCACGCTGACCACACGGTGAATAAAGACAGTTCGCTTACGAACACAGACATACTTTTACAGCAATGTGAAGCTACGGTTATATTGATGGTGATGTGTAGAGAACTAACCTTACAGAAAGTTTTGGACCTGTCACCAAAAGGCTTTAATTAACACTGAGCCAAAACAATTGGGCTCTCGACCAAAGTACAGGTGCCGAGTAGAGCCAAAAAGAGCCGCTCCGCCTTGACGTGGCTGTGCTGCTGTCATTTCCAGGCCATGCCAAGCATGCAGAGTTTAGAGTCTGTCAACAACTCTGGTAGCGAATTAACAGCAGGAGCATTATTGCTGAAGTCAGCTGCTCGTATCCGCTATTAATTTTGCACCGTTTCTTAAGAAAAAAAAAATATTATAAAGACCGTATCAAGGACCTTCAGTCCTAATGGTTCATGTGATGCATGTACTTTTTTTTAATTCCTGCATTCAACTTTTGATGTTCAGTCACATTTTACTCGAATTAAGTTGGATTTAATTAAAGCGATCCAAAATCCTGCGTTACTTATTTATGAACTTTTTTTCACCCTGCTGGCAAGGAAAGAAGTGATTCTGACAACCTTGGTTTCTTTCTTTTTTTCTAATTAGTGCACCTGGTTAGTACTGTTTTAAATGTTCCACTTTTTTTTCACATATGCAAAATAATATATGTATATATATTAAAAAAATATTAACATCTACAATAATAACAATACAATCACTATCAAGAGCATGCAGTTTCTCTCTTTCACTACTGATTTAAATTTACAATGTGAATAATGGAGACATTTTATATGTATCAAATGTTTATTATAAAATATACTGTCAGTATCAAACTAAGAAAATACAATAGAGTATTTAGTGTATAGAAAACCTGCAGTGATTAAATTGTGCAGTGTATGCCTATTTTTAAATCATTGTGTAATCTTAATACAGTAGTAGCTCACCATTATTTACATGCACTTACATAAACACTGGAGAAATGAAAAAAAAAATCAAAATGAAGTACTTTAAGGTGCGAGAGTGAAAACTAAAAAGAAACGAAGAGCGGTACAGGAATGTAACAATTTGATGCGTTCCTTTTGATTTCCCTTGTTCGTTTAAACTGGTTGCACATACATTAATCCACTCTTTTTTTACTTTTTCTATCAGTTAACCTGTTCATCAAATTTGTTACTCCTCTTCCTGGCATCTCCAGCACCGTAAGCATCAGATCCATCCGGCAGTTGAGACAGTGCTGAAGCGACTTTACTGTTGTCCTCACCTCCCCCATTGGTATGCAGACTATGCAAGATCTGGTCACTGGGGCGTTTCCAAGATGTTCGAGTGGCAATCCAAAGAATCAGACCTCCAAAAAGCACCAGGAGGACTCCCAGTACGTTCACAAAAATTGCCTCTGGGGGAGAATCCTTATACTTTGGGTCTTTCCTTTTGTGATGTAAACAGAGGAAAGTTATTCTCACTGTTCAGCATTTACACTGTATTCATCTCATTTTTAACTACTCTCACTCTCTATTTTAATACTTACAGGCCAAAGATGAGTTTCTCTGTGATGCCCATAAGTGCCACGGCTATGACACTGGTAAAAAGTAAAAGACCGCTGTAGACGTGGAGAGGCATAAACGCTGCTCTCCAGGACACAGGTGTAACTGGTATCAAGTACATGCCAACTCCAAGAACAAGCTGCCCATTGAAAGAGAGAGACAGATAAAACCCACTTCAGATCTGAAGACTGCTGTCCACTATGACTTAGTCTTTTAGAACCACCAGTAAGAGGTTCAGAGAAAAATGAGAAAGCTATACTGTTATACTTTAGATGTGTTAACAGTCCAGTCTAATGGTAGTAGTAGCTACAAAAACCCTGCAACAACTGTGCTTCTTAGGTAAAATGTTAGACGATACTCTTATCTTCAATATGTAACAAAAGTAGGTCTTTGTTGTAACTGCTTTAAAAATACCAAATGATTGCATCTATTTACCTGCAGACCGTACAGTATAACAGCCGTGAGGCCCAGCCAGCTGTGCAGACTGTACATGTTGGGAATGTTGGCACCATTGTGGAAGTCAAAAACTGCCACCATGGCTATAACAGCAAAAACGAAGGCTAACAAATTCAGTCCTGCATGAATGAACTTCATCATGAGTTTGCTGCACTGCCAGGTCCAGGGGAGCCTGTAGACTATTATTGCTGCAAGAGAGAGTAAGACAGGCAGTTAGCAACAACTTAAGGCAACAATAAAGCTTTTTTTTTTTTTTTTAAATTTGACTACATATTTCTAAAGTTGTAGGCTTACTTGCTTTATACTATCTAGGATGTAATGTTTGGGTCTCATAGCCTCATGAAAATCATATGGGGGGAAAAAAGCACACAGGTGTTGTAATGCATGTAAAATCTATATGCCATGTGCCATGTCACAGTGCATGTTCAATCATAAGTTTCTCTCTTTAGATGAAGGACGAGTGTACTGCCAGCTTGTGATTCCCTCATTACGCAATCAAGGCTAGAATCAGGCAGGCAAGCAATCCAAGCCAGCCCACTTTGAAAAAGTCTTTGAAAAATGTGAAGGAGGACATCAATTTTGGATTTTTATTTGCACCTTTTAATCCCGCAGATATCGTGGTATAAGAAAAAGAAGTGCACTTTCAACAGTTAGTCTCAATTATGTCTTATAAAGATAATAAAGACCCTTCTTACCTATCCCCTGCAAGAAAATAAATCCAGTGACTGTTAATACCGGATGCCAGTTGAATTCGGCGAGCCCTCCATCCCAGGCCAAACCTTCCTTAAAATACAGAACCCATCTGAAGACGAAGATTATGGAAACAAAGCCGGCGGCGGTGGCGGCACACAAAGCCAGCAAGAAGTGCTTCAGGTTCTCCATCGGCGTCTGCAGCGGGGGAGAGGCAGAGACTGGACCGGAGCGGCTGCTGTCAGGTACAATAACAACTTACAACTCAGCGCTGCCCGTTGAGGAGGGACCGCGGTCACGTGACCCCGAGCTGAGAAAACGTTTGGAGGGAGGGTGTTTTGCAACTTTTGTCGTTACAGAAGAGAGTCTGGGATCGGTTTTATAAGATGTTTTGGGGTTTTTTTTGGTGCTGCGTCACACTCTGACTCCCGTTACAACACAACTCCACGTCTACGCAGTCCTTCAAAGTCTGAGCTCCAGCGGGATTAAAGAAACAGCCATGTGGGCATGACTAGACATCTGTGGCTCTGGTTTTGCTTTGTACTGCGTTTTATGAATAGGCACTTTTCTCATTATCCCCCCTATTTACATCTTACTAATGCACCACAAGACACATTACAAAGAAAACATGAAAACCCTTTGCTTTTTTCTTTTAAAGCTATACCTACACTGTAAATATTAACGTGTCGCTTACCCTGACAGACAGCTACAACATTTAGGGTTGGAACATTAAGACACATAATCCTACAAACAAGCTCAAAGCCACTTTTGTTACAACTGAAGATTCATTATTTAAAAACTTATTAAAGAAGAACACTTGAGTGGTTTTGCAGCTGGTGGCCACAGATCATTGCTCTTTTCTTATCCTTCCTGGCTGATTTCTTTTCTCTTATTTTGCTTTTTGTTGGTGTCAGTACCTTCAGCCCATTTGGGTTACAGAGGTAGTCCAGCTCCTCAAGGGTGAAACATCCATATGTGCTGTTGCAAGGTTTGCTGTGACTCCAAGGATCGTTTTTTTTTTATTCAAAATATTTTTATTGGGTATTTGTGGATATAGTTTACAAAAAAAAAAAAAAAAAAAAAAAAAAGAAGACAGAAAACACAAACTGTTTACAATGAATACAAAACAGAACTTCTCATGTTGGAACATTGTTTTCCTCTCTTATTATTTACCAAACATACTCCAAGGATAGTTTCAAGAATTTAGAGGAGACACCAAGTGTGCCATTACATGAGGAGAGCTGGACAGCGCCAAAGAATGGCATCAACCCAGCAGCAGGACCAATATCTGCTTCTTCATGTAAATGACAGTGGAAACACTGCCAGTGTCACTGCCCACAAAATGACCTACCCGTGCATGTTTCTGTCAGAAGGGATACAGGAAAAGGAACAGTCCTGCTAAACCATTTCCTTTTGGGGAGGGGTTGTCTTGTTGTTACCTCTCCACCACATCCGCTGTGACTTTGTGCCAAGACAGGGGAAAAGGACTCACACTGTGACAGATTGATATCCCTAAAGTCCTCCTTTAATTTTTGAGAAGTGTCAAGATTTGCAAAGGAAATTTGACTAATTCTGTGAGATAATATATGCTTTTGATAAACCTAACTTAAAGGTTAGCTAGAACACACAAACTAACTGGTTTCAATTTGGGGATCTATGCAGTAAAGAACAGACATACTTTATTGTACTGCTACTTTTAATTTCCTATGAGCATATTTAAGAGCTAAAATTAAGATATTTAATACCATCACATCTTTTTTGTAAACTGAAGTCAATCAAAATGTGTGATACTATCTCAATATGTGGGACAAGACAAACACGTGATCACCCTAACTTCCCATTGTGACATTCTATTTTCTTGTATTACATCTTATATTGAATACAGAAACTCTTTATAAAAAATTATAGAAACTTGGTATACATAAGACTCCTGTTCCTGTTATGAGATTTTCCTTTCACGTTAATTTGGAGACTTTTTGGAAAATCAAAACCTCATATCTGTAACCCATGCATGTAAATAGACCCGCAATTTGCATGCGACAATCATTTGTGAAGTGTGACACTGTCACCACATTTAATCTGCATGAGTGCACTGCAGCTGGCAAATCACTTTTCTGAAACGTACATCATTAGGATGGCGTCAGGCAATTTCATCAGCTCTGACTGTTAACATCAAGCAAACAATCGCATTACTATCTCAGATCCTGGCTCAGAGTAAATATCAATATCTTACAATTTGGATATGCATGACGGAAAAAGAGAAGGCTGAAATACAGAGCAACTTGGAAAAATAAAATATTTTATTTTTAGAATAAAGGAAAAAAGTGAGATCAAGTTTAATGGTACAGACTTAGAATAATCATAACAGAAAGAAATAGTGATAATCAAGAGTAATCATATGAACTTAGGATGCAAAGATCCATATATTTAAAAAAACAAACAAAATATAGGAGAAGGAAATCATATTAAAAAAAATCTTAAGTGATCATGAAAAGCTTTACAGCAGCTTTGATTCAGTTTTGCACCGCTTATGTTTTGGTGGTGAACAGTTTGTAAACATGGCAGCAGAACTTGGCGTTCTTTTGTTCAATATGAACAATCGTGTCTTTGTCGAAGAACACCTCGTTTTTATTTGTCTGAAACAAAAGAGAAGAGCACACATTAATCCACATCCAGACTACTCGCCCTGATGTTTGCATACTCATGTCAAGTTACTCACCTCATCCCAGGTTTCAATCAAATCGATCGTCCGCAGTAATTGTCCGGTCTGGTTGTCATGGAGTTGGATGCACGCTCTTCCTTCTCCCTCCTCGCCGTTGGTTACCACGATTGCCAAAAGGTCAAGCTCATCCTCATATTCCACCATTCGGAAAGTCTGCATAATCAAAAGGCCGTTGTGAATTAAGTGCTACGTACCATGTTCTCTTTAATGAACAGCTCTACTTGCCTGCAGTGTTTAAACCTGAAAGCTTATCAATGAAATTCTTCAGAGGACATTACCCAACACATATCTCACCTGAGGAAATGTGTAAGGACAATTAAATGTATAAAAATCAATTGAGCTGCCATCCTGAATATTCTGCACTTTAAATAAATATGCAGGTTTTTTTTTTTATTCTTCTAAAAATATTTTGGCGCACACAAAAGAGGCTTTGGCTTTCCCCCAGGAAAAGGAAACTCCCACTCGCTCTCTGCCTTATGTCACATGGAGACCAATTTAGGTTACATACATACTCACCTCCAAAGGCCCATTTTGAGCCCGGAAACCTCTGAAAGGTGTTTTTAAGGACAGAGGCTCTTGTATGATGACTGAATTCGACTTAAGATCCTCATTCATTTTGAATTTTTATTACTGAGCTGTAAATCTATTTAAGCCTGGTGGGGTGTTGACAATACCTCATCAGCGTCTTACAGCTGATTGGGGAAGAAAAAACTGTTTTGCATGAAAATTCAGCTGCAAAGAGAAATAAACCCTGCATCAGTTGGCTAGTTTTAGCTGCAGATTTGCAGTATTAAGAGGTATTTACAGGAGAGGAAGTGTAGGCAGGATTGAGTCATGTCTGCCATGATGGATAAAATTGTCAACGAAATCTTTTTTTGTTTAGGTCTATTACAGAGGAAAAACTAATATATATCGCTTTTTGAATAAATAAGAAGAAAAAGATCTTACTTATATTAAGAAACAAATATATATATATATATAAATATAACTAAATAAATAATAAAAATATTGATATTGTGTTTGCTTCTTGGTTTAAATAAGAGAACAACCTAATCTGGATTTATGGATCTGTTTTGTCATCCAAACCCTCGGGGCATGCAAGGGACTTTGGGGGATGTCTCGTGGTGTCTGGCTTCAAAAATGACGGCAGCAGACGGTCTGCTTGTTCTGGCATGCTGTGAATTCTTGATTGGGATCTTGGGAGTTTTTAGATTTTGTCAACACCTTTCTGTTTTTATGGTGAGGCAAGCCACAACATCCTACAGGAGGAGCCTACTGGTGTACTCCAGAGGGGTATGTATGCTCTGTCATAGTGCATCAAGTCACTCAAGTAATTAACAAGAATGTCAGGACCCTTACTGCATTGTAAGAGGAATAAAAAAAATTATTCCCTTCCTGTCACATTCATATATTGGTATTTAAGTTAGTAATTTAATTAGATCCTATTTTTACCTTTTGAGATGGGTCATCATCCAGCTGTTGAAATCTTTTTTTTACTGTGCGGCCTGATGAGGTCACAGTGACTTGGGAGATAGGCTACAAGAGATGGAAAGCATAAACTTTATATTTTCTGAAATTATAAACAATACGCATACAATTCACCTCTATAGGAGACTTCCATCTCTGTTGTAGCCAGGCTGATTTATTGTACAAGGCTGATCCATCGCAGGTCAATTACATTTATTCAGAAAGCAAAGGACAGCAACTAAAAATCTCAAGCAAATAAATTTTACACTTACATTGTTTCGGTGGGTTTTCAGGGAGAAATCCTCAACGACCTTAGATGGCAGAGCACTGTTCAGTTCACCGAGGATTTTTAGGACACTGGAATATAAAAAAACCAAAACACAAATATTGTACAATAAGTATATTTGGCAAATAAGATAATATGATGATGTTAAATAAATACCGGAGCACTCACTTTATGGTGACAGGTCCCACATGGATAATTCTTCCTGAATCATCAGGATGAAAGAAGATCCCGTCGTTCTCAAGAGAGTAGGAGTCCATCTCTTGTACTCCGTTTGTTGCCTAATTTAATAAAATCAGAAAGCAAAAGATGCAGATTTCTTACAGTTTCTAATTAGCACACAACTTAAAGGCTCTTTCCATAAGGTCTGTTTTCTTGACAAAAAGGTCAAGATGCAAAGAGCAGGTGAGAAAGACAGGAAGTCAGATACAACAAAAAAACAACAGTGCAGAACATTGTAACAGACCCACGACCGACACATTCCCAAGGTTACATTAGTGGACAGCCTATGTCCACACGTACATGGGTATTTTTGAAAAGATTTTATGATTCTATCCGTTTGGCGTTTGGTGTCACTGAAAACAGAAATTTTTTTAAAACTCCTGCCAGCGTGAAGATTTTCGAAAACTCACTTTTTGCATTTAGGCGACGAGGAAAACGGAGATTTACTCACGCAACGTCAAAGGTGTGCACCGTTTTTGATGTCACGCTGTGCGCCACGTTATTGTTTACACGAGATTAATTTCTATAATGGCGGACATAGACAAAATACTATTGCTGTTAATCTGATTATCTGCATTTTTTACACTCTTACATATACAGGTGCAGTTTCTGTCCCTCCATTTAGAAAGACAGAGGCGTCAGAGTGAACTTCGGATGTGGTTTCTACATTTAACACAGACGCTTTCACAACCCAAATCCAGATGTTGGTTTTAAATAAATTTAACTTTCAAGGTCCATTTTTAAGCTTTTCCAGCACATTACTAGAAAAAAGAAAAAAAGAATGCATGTTCCGCTTATCATCACCTCAGTAAGGCCAAGTAAAAATGAAAACAAATCATTTTAGCTTGACTTAAATGTCCTTTGTTCCCCTTTTGTTAAAACATAGAAAACTGCACCAAAGACAAATACTGAAAAAGGAAATGGTGCACTATGCATATAGTGTACAAACTCAAAAAACAAATTTCTCTTAAAAATTACAATTACAAATGTGAACAAATCAACTTGTTAAAGATATTCATCTCCACTTGAACAAAAACAACCCCCTCAAAAGAAGAAAACTGCACCAAACGCTCCAATAATACACAGCAAGGCCAAATTAATAAGTCTTCTCATCAGATATTGATGCTTCTTTCTAATGTGACACAAAAAAAGGAGACAGATGTTTGTTATTTTAACTAGGTAAGCACCTACACCCCCAAAAATGGGGGCAAAAGGGAGGAGA